ATCTTGTTGTTTCTTTTTCTGGCTTTCTGCTACAAGTTTCAATGTTTGGGTTAATGCTAATCTTTATCAGAAAACGTAACCATTCTTTTTAACACAATTATCATACTTCTACATTGTAAGATATTGCTGTACAAATGAATAAATTATCACAAACATTTTGAGCAAGATTCTTTTCCAAACAATTTAAATACTTGTTTGATTCCCCCCACTATTTCACAGTAAACCAAACTCAACCTGCTAGTGAAATCAAAATATGCTTACATCTATTATGCCCATTTTTAGTCAGTTATTCCATGTAGGCAGCAAATAAAGCTGCAAAGAATATGATCTGGTTTTCCAACAGGGCATCCATCACCACTGTAACTATATCCACTCATCTTGCTTTTGGTCGTCTTCTTTTTCATCTTTCTCTGCATTACAGCCTTCTCCAAAGAATTATGTCCAAAGTACGATAATTTGAACTTGGTCACCAACACCAACATTCAATACTCTAGCTATCCTGCTTTTTCAAGTCCAACTTTCATTTCCATAGAGCGTTATAGGGAATACCATCACTTGCGCTATTCAATTCTTTTTAGGTATAGGCATAACATTTGAATATCTTATCCATGGCCTTCATAGCTGCTCTACCAAGTGCTAGTCTGAAGCAAATTTCTTCACTACCTGTTTCTTTACTGTTGATAGTTGATCTGAACAGGCAGGAACCATTCATCACTTTGATATCTTGTCATATCTAAGGTTGGTCATTAGTTTCATCTTCTTTATATTTAATCTTAGTCCCTTTTCTTCACCAGGCTCCTTTACTTTTATTACTAGAACTTGTAGATACTTTGCATTTTCAGCTATGAGGATACTATCATCAGCAAAGCAGAGGTTACTGATGCTTCCATTTTAAAATGAAGCTCATCTTATTCCAATCCAGATTCTTCAATAAAATTTTGCCATCTTAAATTTATAATTAGTAATAAGCTTACCTCATAAAATCAGATTAACTTTCATTCTCTTATCCTTTAGTAAATTGATAGAGTTATTTTCCACTAAGCTAAAAAAATTAGTTTTAATTGGAGGACAGCAACTGAGACAATTTTATGTCATATACTTTTAATGCTTTACTACTGTAAGCCACTGAGAATTTAAAAATATGTAATATCACTCCAGCTATAATCAATACTATTTTTAACATTATCCATGTCAATCCATGACTATTATTTATATCATTCTACATTTTTCATGCAGATGTTTTTTAATATGTTCAAGCAATACAACTACAAATACAATGAGACTCAATAGTCTGCCAAATCAAAGTGGGATCATGTTGCAAACGTTCAGTATAAATATCAGGAAGTGTTTCCATTTACCTTGAGTTTTTTGTTCAAGCAGCCTTCTCCTTTCATCCATGTCTTTTTCAGGAATGCCCTCCATACCATATATTTCCAGTTCAATATCAGTTCTTCCTGGTATTGCATTTGGAACAGCATCAATTGTTTCCTTATGTACCTTAAGAAAGAGAAATCCAAGCTAATGTAAACAGGATATACATTAGAGACTACAACTATAGAACTTTAAGATTAGATTTCCATTTAGCTATGAAGTTTTCCAAATTTTTTTGGAAGAGGGTTCAATCACAGTATCTTAATGTTAACCTTAAAGATACACCTTTTCTTGGTTTAGCTACAACACAACACTAGGAAAAGCCATAGCTTTTTAAGTTGCTATCAACAGTTAGAACAAACACAGCTATACAGCTAGTTCTCAAATATCTTTCTCAACTGGGATTTGAATACTCTAACATTTATTTTCCTGAACAATTCTGGAAATCTATTCAAAAATGCTTGGAACACCACATTCGAAAAGAAAAACAGAATCTACAAATACCAAAACATACCAGCCTGGAACTTTCAACGTATCTTGTTGTTCACTCTTATTAATGGACACTCAAAACTTTAGATGCCACCTCTCCATGTATAGCTCCTATCAATTCTGCTTATTTTCTGATGAAATAACTCTTCTAATCTTCTACTGATGCAGCTATTATTGTAAATGGGTAATCTTTAATTTATAATTAGTTGCAGTTATGATAAACCCCCAAAAGATACTTGATTTGAAGTGCTGCTGCCCCCCCCCCCCAATCATGTGATTACATTTTGGATGCTTGGCATTTATTTCCATTTTTTGGCAAAAAATGCCCATTGCAGATCATAGATTTGTTTTAACACCATGGTGAGTTGCTTAACCACCACTGCAAAAAATGTTGTAGAATTAGATGGGTCACATGACGTAGGAGCGTAACTCTGGGTTCTATTAAGTTGTAAATCAAGGACTACTTGTACATCAATGGCATTTGTGAAAAACAAATTAACTTTCATTTTCTTACTTAAAATGGAAAGATTGGAAAACAAAAGCATATATAAATAACACCACAAATAATCCTACTTATATGAGTACATTATAGTACTTACCTGCATACAATGTATAGCCAAACCAGGCCCTGTATATAGTTTCTTATGACATATATGGCATTTAAAGTGCTTTGCTTTTTGGTGTTGAATAAGAATTTTCTCATCATCAAAATCCCTGTTACAATACCTATTCCACATTGTTAAAGAAGTCAAACATAAATGCTAAAATTAAAGATATTCATTAGTCAACATTTACTATAATCAGTTTTAAAGAAAGCTGTAACCCATTTCCAATTAAATTTCAATTACTGTTATAAATCAAGATTTCATAAACCTTATACATTTCTCATCAGGAAAGTCAACTTATCCAGCAGTTATTCACCCCAATGTTAAGTGGCAGGATGAGGAATTTTCAAGGTTAGACCCGTACAAATTGATGTGCTGAGTAGTCAACCATTGTTTACAATACCATCACATATCTTTGCCCATACCAGGCTTGGGATAAGGGAAAGCCATGCAGACTCTCTGAACATACAGAAGTTGTTTCTCAGAGAGATTGCTTTCAACCTTTTCAACCATAGCATTGGTTTCGCTTTTTTGAAAACATAGGGACAATCACACCTTCATAGTTAGCTAGTTAACCATTCCAGAGTAGCCTTACGTAGGAAATAGGTAGCATATAAATTTTGCGTATATATGTGTATAAAGCTAACTCAGAACAATGGAAGAAAAAGTTATCCAACCGTTAAGAAGTTCTTATACTTAAATCTTCTCAATTTCAGCTAGCGAGAGATCAAGAGAAATACATCTATAGATATCTGGCAAACGTCTAGCAAAAAAAACCGCTACAGTTTCGGTCTACTACCAGCACGATACCCATCAATTAACAAAATATGCTTTTTGTATCCATAAACGTTAGGGCACAAGGTTAACGGCAACAGACCATACTGTAAGAACGGGATACGATGCTGGATAAAGACACAAGAAAAAACTAATCTACTCCCCCGCCCCCCCGCCGAATAAATGTCTAGTTTCCCAAATGATGCGGGAACAAAGGGGCGTGAATCCCAAAAGGCGGCAGCTCCGAAACTCTTTTTTTTTTCCAAGGCTCCGGAGCGAAGAAATCCGGACGACTATTATACGGCAGTGAAAAGCGAGATTTTTGACCATCTTTCCTGCCGTCGGCCGGATTTTTTTTGCGGCCCGGCTCTGCCTAATAAAACAGGCCGCTGAGGCATCTTAACACCAGAAAGGGGGGTGGGTGGAAAGAGGCCTCTACCGAAGGCAGGCCAGTCGGGCCTCCCTCCCGATCCGAAACGAGGCGGCAGCGGCCTTCCGCTTAGAAAAGGATACCAGCACCAAGGCTTTAGCTGCTTCTTCTTCTTCCGACCCATAACGAGAAGGCAACGGCTCGGACGAGAAAACTCCCCCCAAAACGGAACGCTAACGCCGACCAAGCGCGCTCTTTCTCTGTCTTTCGCTTTTCTCTCTTCTCCGCTTCTCAGCCAGGAACAAAATGGCCGCTCTCCTCCGCCGAATCCCTCGCCTTCCCGAAATGCAGCGCGGGGGACAGGCACATGTAAGGTCTCGAGGCGACCTCACCAATTGTTACGTCATCCGTTCCTTCCCTGCGCGCGGTGCAGCGGAAATTCTAGCCGACTGTGCGCTTCTTGCCCGCGTAGGTTGCTTCCCCCCACCCTTTTTTGTGAGTGTTCTTTCCCATTGCGACTTAACGATTCTTTTAAAACGCTGAAGTTTGCTTTGGGAGAGAGATACGCAGGAGGCAGCCGAGCCCGATATCCTGGTCCTCAAATTGTTGCTGGCCATTCCCTAGTTTAGAAATAATGATGGTGATTTTCATATTCCACCTGGATAAGATAGTTTCTGCAAATGAATCAGATTCTTCCAACTCGTGAGATTTAAAAAAAAAAATAGCAGCGAGGGTGCCGCTTCATCTTCGAAGGCTTATGTAGCTCAATCCTGTATCTGCGTGCTGCTAAGTAAATCCACTTAGGATTCAATAGGAAACTAACGGTATTGTAATTAAACATTGCGAAAATCGGTAGGGTTCTGAAAAAGAGCATTCATTACTTTAGATAAGCCTGTTTATCAATTTGACCGTCCCATCATATACACTATATACCTATTTGAGTTCTACTGAGATCAGCAATTCGTGTGTAAATCAAATCTATTATAGCTCAAAGGTTATTTGTTATAATTATTTATTATAGCCCAAAGGCCAGAAGTAAGTATAAACAAGTTTACAATTGGAATGACTTTTTACTTAGATGATCCGTGAATGTAATCCCACTGATTTGAGCGACAATTTGGTTCATTCTAAGCTAATGCCGATCCAATCTGGCCTGCTGAGCTGATTAAAAAAAAAACACTCCGTAAAATTGGGAAATAAATGTTAACTGAGCCAGCGTGACTTGAAGAGAAGTGTGTGGCCCGCGTGTGTGTATGGATGCGCGTGTGCCCGCAACATCCTTAACAATTTCGGGAATCTACAGCTACCTCTTGTCTTCCCTCTGCCGTGGCAACATGTTTGCGACCGGAACCTTTGTGACGCTATATGGACAGAAGGGCGGAGCCGAGGAGAATAGGTCGTTGCGCTGTACGGCAATAGGGGGAACGGATTTTCTTCGCTCCCGAGTTCGCCAGCAAAGATGTTGCCTTCCCTTCAGGAGTCCGTGGACGGAGATGAGAGGGAGCTGGAGAGCAGCGAGGAGGGAGAACGGAAACCGGAGCGTAGCAGCAACAGTTACCACTGCTTGTACGGCTACCGAGGCTCCGGGTAAGAGAGCGAGGGCTGCTCCGCCGGGTCCCTGCTGGCTTTCTCTTCCCTGCGGGTCTCCAGCCTGACCCTTTTATGATCCAGCATTTCTGATTCTGGGGGTCTTGGATGAATTCATTCCCACCGTCGTCCCATCCCCTTGGCTGAGAGCGATGGGGGCTTGTCGTCCAATTCATCTGGGGTTCACCAAATGAAATGTTTGGTAACAGTTGAAAACGGTTGATGGGGATAAAACCAACACATTATTTTAGTCCAGTTTCTGGTTTCCGTCTGTGTTCATGTAGATTGTAGAAGGTGTATGTCTGGGCATGAAATCTAGCCTAGGTTTCATTTATTTTCCTTGAAATGTGATTATTATGTATGTTTCCAACCCATACGGTCCCAATTGGGCCTGCAATACTTGCTGAGGTCATCGATCCATCTTGCTTTAGGTCTCTTTCGTGGATGCTTTTTATCAAGTGGGATCCATTCTATGACTTTCTTGTCTTCAATTCTTCTTGCTATGGGACCAGCCCATTTCAATTCTTTGACTCTCTTGATGAAATGGTATACTTTCGTTTCTTCTCTAATCCATGTCTTTCTATCTTGTCTTGGAAACATGTGGAAGAGGCCTTCATCCTGCAAATGGATAGACCAGGGATCTCAAACTTGCAGCCCACAGGCCAGATGCATCACGTGCTGCCCCCCACCTGGTTTAGCGAAGGGGGCAAAAAGTCCCAATACATCACGTGACACCGCGAGTTTGACACCCCTGGGATAGACAATGGCTAAAATGATGATGATGACTATTATGCAAATGAGAGCCAGTTTGCTGTAGTATAGTAGTTAAGGCTTCAGACTAGAATCTGGGAGATCATTAATTCTAATCCCATCTTAGATACAGATCCGAGGTGGTATTCAGCAGGTTCTGACCAGTTCTGGAGAGCCAGTAGTGGAAATTTTGAGTAGTTCAGAGAACCGGCAAATATCACCTCTGACTGGCCCTGCCCCCACCTATTCTCTGCCTCCTGAGTCCCAGCTGATTGGCTGGGTCTCCTTTGGTTGCTCTGTACAGGAGAATGGAGCTGGAAAGCAGGCTAGTGGGGTGGGGAGGGAATGGGGATTTTACAGTATCCTTCCCCTGCCATGCCCATCAAGCCACACCCACAGAACAGGTAGTAAAAAAATTTGAATCCCTCCACTGAGCCAGATGGATGACCTTGGGCCAGTCCCTGTCACTAAAACCTTGGAAGCAAGCAAAGGGAAACCATTTCTCAAAAACCTTGCCAACAAAACAGCAAGGACTTGTGCAGGCAGTCTCCAAAAATCAGACACAATTAACAGAAAAAAATACGACTACAGTAGGTCTGTCGACGGATGAATTTATCTAATGCATTTTAAAATGTTGGTCATTCATTGGAGTTAACTCATCTGGACCTATCAAATTCTTTTTTTTTTTTTTTTTTGAAAATTTTATTTGGGTTTTCACAAAAACAAAATACAAATAAAACATCTTTTTTTTGAAAATAGCATGGTCCCAGGTTATCACTTCCTCATACAGACACAAAACTCAATTTCATGCTCATTTTTATAATCTATTCCATATCTTATTACCGTTTTATATTTTCTGCATAGTTTTCCCCCTCTTTTAATTTTCTCAATTTTATTTTAATTATCTCAATTCAAATCATTATATTTATACTTTTGTCTGTCCTGTTTCAATTTCATATTATCTTTTCTCATTAAACAAATTTTCCCCTGAAATTACCAATTGGAGTATGACACCTTTATATCTTTTAATTTTATCCATTCAAACTCTTATTTAAGCTTCAGTGTATACCTTTAAGATTATAGCATTCAATATAATACATAACTTCCAATCAAATTCTGCTTGGTACATTCTTAAAATACACACTATATTCTTAAAAAGAAAAAATAATATATATATGTAAATAAAACACACATTCCATTCCAATTCAATTCTATCATTAATATTCATTAAAATCTTAACATCTTTAACATTTCTTTTCACTTAAATATCATACTTCCTTGGGAACACTTATAAACTTTCCATAGTTAATTCTCTTTTTTCCATGTTTCTCACTTATATTTTTATAAATCATTACTAATAATTAAAATGTTCCCACTTAATTCTCTCAATCATTTTAATTCATTTATTTATTAACAAACATTCCACTACATTACAGTAAATATTTTATCCATCATTTTAGTCATATTTTCTAAAATTATTTCTGTTTGTAATATAACAATGCTATCTTATATACCTTTGCAGAATCCCTTTTACAATTAATTTTTCACCCATTATCTCTAAATAAGCTTATGGTTACAATCCTTATATCTTTTCCCTGTTTCTCTATTTCTTGTTTCTGTCTTTTACAATTTCTTTTCCTTGCCTTCTTCCCCCTCCCCTTTTTAACCCCTCGTCTCTCTACTTCTAACTCTCTCATCTGTAATCCCCTCTTCTGTTGCTTTCTAATATTATACTTATCTTTCAAATTGTTGTTCTTCTTTTTGGTTGTTTTTTCTAGTCTTAAACCTTTCACTCTCTTTCCCCCCTTTTCTTCCCCCCGCACTTAAAATTATTTGATCATTAAAGATGGCTTCTTCTTTGTCCCAATCTTCTTGTTCTGCAAGCATTTCTTGTTGTTTCTCATAGTTCCAGATTTCCATTTCTAGGAATTGAAATACGAAGCCAAAAGAACTTCTCCCTTCTTGTGCATCTTCTTTCCATTTTTTAAAGTTCCATTTTCAGTTCTTCTAAGAGTGATACCATTTTAAAGACTTTTAAACAACCACCCGGTTAATTTTAGTCATCTAAATGCAAAAACCAAAAATCACCAAGTAATCCAAATAATCCAAGGCTGTTTCTTCTTGCTTCTTTTTTCCACTTTCTCTTCCTGGGGTTCTATTATTTTGTTACCAAGTTTCAGTTAAAATGTATCTTTTAGGAATCTTGTTAAAATTTCCTTTTAGTTATAGTTCCATTCTTTAGTTCCAGGCAGTCTCCTCCATTTTTCCAGATCCTGCCCTTTTATTCTTTTTTCCCCCCTCCTTTCCTGCTTTAAAAAACTTTTAAATATCCAGAAATCTTTATTATCCCTTTGACTTTTAGTTTCAGCTTAGATGCCTATTAATGTCAAAGTGGATTTTTTTCAATTTCTTGCTTAAGTCTCTTAGCTGTCAGTATAAGGAAGGGAAGGGAAAAAAAACCTAATCCTTTCCCTTCTCTCTCCTTTGCAGCTTCAAAATCTTCTTTGGGAACAATGTTGTTTAATTTAAATTCCAGGGTACCTTACGTTGTTGCTTTTTCGGTTTAACCTGGTCAACCAAAACTTTTTCTTCTTATCTTCCTCCTGCACATTCTTTTCTGGTTCAGTTCTTCTTTGACGTAGCCATTTCTGACCACTGCTGCAACTGCCTTCGGGAAAGGGAGTAATGGCAAGCTGGGGAAGAGAGATGCGGCTCTCCTTGACCCTGCTGGCAGTCTCCCCCTTCTTCACCACCTCTACGGGGTGGCTTAGCCCTGAAACCAGCCGGCTCGGGGTGCTCTGGTGGCGAGCACAGATCGAAACCGCGCACGATCGCGGATTTCGGTCTATCGCCGAAGAGACTCAAACCGGAAGCCCCTGGACCTATCAAATTCTTCTGAGTTGTTCAGAGGGCTGCTCAAAACAAGGTATCATTTGCCTATTGTGAATCCAGAATACTTCTGCAGTTGTCTATTCAATTCCCCAAAATCCCAATCTGCTCTTCCCATTTCAGGTTTCCATTCCCTCTCCCTTAGAACAATGATAGCCATATGAAGTGTTTTCTGTAACCGCATGAGTTTTGTCTTTTCATTCATAATTAATTTGACTTTTTCAGATTACACCAAGGGTTAGGCAGTGATGTTGGGAGTCCAAGCAAATCATCAGCCGAAACATCTTCAGATGACTTCAGGTAAATGAACTTGGCAGAAAGATTTTGCATGCTGCATCTTGGATTGTTATAACAGACGGGAACGTGCATATCACTTGTTCCGATCAACCATTGTTAACTGTTACCAGACATCTGATTTGGGGCACTACGAATGCACAAGAAGATTCTTTCTGGATCTGATTTAAGTCTCTGCTTTTGTTCTTCTAATTTCCCAATTGGTTGAGGGCCAACTATCTGAGGAGTTCCCTAACTAAGTGCAAACTATCTGTTTAAGGTTAGCGGGAGGTATCTTGAGAAAGATTTCTTACTTCCCTAGGCCCATTTGCCAAGCATGTGGGAAAGGATTGCGCTCCCTTGGAATTGCAGTCATCTCCCACTCTTTCTGTAATGAGATGATAGAAGCGATAATGGTGTGACAAACATCTCAGGAGGAACCTTCCCTAATTTTTAGGGAGGAGGAAGAGATGTATGTTCCCAACTAGCAAGATTCTGTTGATATTGCCTTACAATAAAATTGCAGCTAGTACTTCTGGGTGTGCTTCTTTCCTGGAATTCCTCAGAAGGCTGACATCAATCTTGCAAATTTCAAAGTGCCTCTTCTTCCCACTTGCCATTACAATCGCCCATGTGGTTTCTGTGGGCTAAGTTGCCTCTTATCTGACTGTTGTCAGGTTTGCAGCTCTTCCTCTTTCTGTTTTATGACAGTCTAGTTATGAATCTAAGTCCAGCCCATCTTGAATTCTGTTGACTCTTCCTCATCAATTTGTTTTGGCCATTAGTAGTTCAGATTCTTGTAGAGAAGAACATTAGCATACAATAAACCTATATTTGTTTGAACTGCCTGGACTCCTGGTTTCTTGCGCTTGACAAACTAATATAAGAAGTATGAGAGTTCATTAATTTATATTTTTATGTATTTTCCATCTTGGGGAAAATTGTCACTATTCTAACAATAGATACTTAAAAAGAAACTAAATTTATCGCTTGCCATTACAGATGGAACTGCTGCTCCTGGTATGAGCCATAAATAAAGATATCATATAGAAAGGGGGAAAATCCTTGTGTGGGAGGAGACCAAATCAAGGAAAATATAGTTGAGAAGTCTGTGGTCTTCAGTTTCACGCTTTCATTCCTATCTGTTATTAATGCTCATTAAAACACATGGAGTTGTACAGTAGTGCAGAATAATTGAAGTGTGCAACTTTGCAGCTCTTGATTTTACTCCCAGTTGCATTTCAATTGTTTTTTAAATGGGAGATGCTTGGAACTTCATACCTAACTGGAAGTGGCCTCTTTTTCTTTGAAAGCTTGACATTTAATCTCAAGTATGAAGGACTGGTTGTGATTAGCTGGTCTTTGTAACTATAATTTAATTAAACAGACACAACAAAAGCTCTGTCTTACCTAATCATGTGTGTGTTTTTTTTTAAAATTTCATTTATGAAGCCTTTCATTGGTGGACACTAATTTACCAACTGAAGCTGAGATGGAGTTGCGTGGTTTGGTTGCCAAGCATCTCAACAAAGGAGCTTTGTTTGAGGGGATGGGCAATGTTATATCGGTCGAGTTGAGGTAAGGCTGTAGATATGGACTGAGACGTCCAGTAATCTCACACAATTTTAATTAATTGTACCTTTCTTAATAAATCACCAGTGCCATTTTATTAAATTGTGTGAAATCAAATTAAACTGTGGGTGTACTTTTAAGTTTTGTTTTATGAGTCAAAGATTGAACCGTGCTGTTTATTTCTGAATTGTCAACATCCTTGTCATGCCTTTGAAGCGTCTGAAAATGGCTGGTTGCAGAACAAAATAAAACAACCTCTTTTCCCTCCCCCACCCGTCTCAAAAAAGTCTCCTGGCTTTTAGAGTGGCTTTCTGATCCTCATCCTGTGGTGTTTTTTTTTTAAACTGTCGGTCCAACTGAACAAAATTTACAAGATGTGATAATTACAGGTAATCCTTAACAAAAGAGCTTTGAGCCCAAAATTTCTGTTGGTAGGTGTGAGACAGTTTTTAAGTGAGTTTTGCCCCCATTTTATGACCTTTCTTTCCACAGTTGTTAAGTGAATCACTGCAGTTGTTAAGTTAGTATCACAATTGTTAAGTGAAGCTTGCTTATCAGAAAGTCTCAAAGGGTGATCACATGACCCTGGGACACTGCAACCGTCATAAATATGATTCCATTGCCAAGCACCTGAATTTTGATCATGTGACCATGGGAATGCTTGCAACAGTCATAAGTGTGAAAAATGGGTCGTAAGTGTGAAATACAGCATTAAACTTTTTTCAGTGCCATTGTAACTGAACTGTTAACGAAACAAACTGTTATAACCAGAGAAGTGTTTGTATTCATATACATACTCATTGTCTAAGCTTTTAATGACATTTAATAACTATCAAATTAAGAGTTGTAAGAGCTTAAGCTTAAAAAAGACAATACGCATTTGCTCTGTATTCTGAACTGTAAACTTCATCTCACTATCTTTCAATGAATGCTCGCTTGATCAATGAAAATAGGTAGAGTAATCATATACTGAACTCTGATAGAGAGCTAGATACCTGGCAATATACACTGCTCAAAAAAATAAAGGGAACACTTAAACAACACAATGTAACTACAAGTCAATCACACTTCTGTGAAATCAAACTGTCCACTTAGGTGGCAACACTGATTGACAATCAATTTCACATGCTGTTGCGCAAATGGAATAGACAAGAGGTGGAAAACATAGGCAGTTAGCAAGACATCCCCAATAAAGGAGTGGTTCTGCAGGTGGTGACCACAGACCACTTCTCAGTTCCTATGCTTTCTGGCTGATGGTTTGGTCACTTTTTAATGCTGGCGGTGCTTTCACTCTAGTGGTAGCATGAGACAGAGTCTACAACCCACACGTGGCTCAGGTAGTGCAGCTCATCCAGGATGGCACATCAATGCGAGCTGTGGCAAGAAGGTTTGCTGTGTCAGCGTAGTGTCCAGAGCATGGAGGCGCTACCAGGAGACAGGCCAGTACATCAGGAGACGTGGAGGAGGCCGTAGGAGGGCAACAACCCAGCATCAGGACCACTACCTCCGCCTTTGTGCAAGGAGGGACAGGAGGAACACTGCCAGAGCCCTGCAAAATAACCTCCAGCAGGCCACAGATGTGCATGTGGCTGCTCAAACGGTCAGAAACAGACTCCATGAGGGTGGTATGAGGGCCCGACGTCCACAGGTGGTGGTTGTGCTTAAAGCCCAACACTGTGTAGGACGTTTGGCATTTGCCAGAGAACACCAAGATTGGCAAATTTGCTACTGGGCGCCCTGTGCTCTTCACAGATGAAAGCAGGTTCACACTGAGCACATGTGACAGACGTGACAGGGTCTGGAGATGCCATGGAGAATGTTCTGCTGCCTGCAACATCCTCCAGCATGACCGATTTGACAGTGGGTCAGTAATGGTGTGGGGTGGCATTTTTTTAGGGGGCTGCACAGTCCTCCATGTGCTCACCAGAGGTAGCCTGACTGCCATTAGGTACCGAGATGAGATCCTCAGACCCCTTGTGAGACCATATGCTGGTGCAGTTGGCCCTGGGTTCCTCCTAATGCACGACAATGCTAGACCTCATGTGGCTGGGAGTGTGTCAGCAGTTCCTGCAAGATGAAGGCACTGATGCTATGGACTGGCCCGCCCGTTCCCCAGACCTGAATCCAATTGAGCACATCTGGGACATCATGTCTCGCTCCATCCACCAACGCCACGTTGCACCACAGACTGTCCAGGAGTTGGGGGATGCTTTAGTCCAGGTGTGGGAGGAGATCCCTCAGGAGACCATCTGCCACCTCATCAGGAGCATGCCCAGGCATTGTAGGGAGGTCATACAGGCACGTGGAGGCCACACACACTACTGAGCCTCATTTTGCTTGTTTTAAGGACATTACATCAAAGTTGGATCAGCCTGTAGTGTTTTTTTCCACTTTAATTTTGAGTGTAACTCCAAATCCAGACCTCCATGGGTTGCTAAATTTGATTTCCATTGATAATTTTTGTGTGATTTTGTTGTCAGCACATTCAACTATGTAATGAACAAAGTATTTAATAAGAATATTTCATTCAGTCAGATTTAGGATGTCTTATTTTTGTGTTCCCTTTACTTTTTTGAGCAGTGTATTTAATATTTACATGTAATGGGACTGTGAATATATGTGCCACTGCAAGGGCTAGCTAGCCCCTTGGGGGGAGGCAGGTTGGCTTTTGTATATCATTAAAATAAATATTGGATCTAATGTATCTAAGGAGTTGTAATCACCGCATGTGAAGCACTACAAGAAGACAACTTCTGGTCCTCTAGAGGGTGCTGCACTACAACTCCCAGCATTCTGCACCACTGGCTATGTGCTGTCTGGTGTTGATGGGATTAATATTTTAACACCTGATGGAAGGTGGCAGGTTTCCCAATCAGGAAGTACAAGAGCGTCCGTTAATTGTTTCATCACACTGCCAGGCGGGCTGAGGGCTGTTGCATCAGAACTGTGTAGATGTTTCCTCATTTTGTAATACTGCAGGGTGATGGGGGAGGCTGCAGTGCTCAAGGTTGCAACTCCAACTCCCAGTCAGCCCTAGGCGGTCAGTGCTCAAACGGCACTTTTTTTTTTTAATTTGCCTGTTTTGCAGACATTAGGGTGGGCTAAAGATGGAAACAAAAGTAGGAGATTTCTGGCAGGCAAACCACTCATCAGAAAAAAACAGCCGAAATTGCAGCTTTAAAGCAAAAGCCCTCCCTTTCTTTCCTTAGTGCTGCTGAAAAAGAGTTGATTTGCCACCAAAATGGGTGCTGCAGTGTTACAAGTGGGACACTGGGGTTTACAGGTTGCCCACTCCTGCTATACAGCTCTATTTAAAAGGAACTTGCCATTTAATGGGGCTATTCCCAGGTTAATGGACTACTATATATGTGATTAGAGCCTAAATCACTTTTGAAGTATTGCTTGTTGGGTGCTGTTTGCAGGGTTTTTTTCCCCCCAAAGGCTGAACTTATTAAGAATAGCACAGCTAATACTGGTGCCTGATCATCCTTGAAAAGCTAAGGAGAACCAGTAAAGACTTGGATCCTGAACAGACAGGAACTGCTTAGCTAGAGATGAGTCTGGGAATTGGAAGGCAGGGGTGAATTACATCTATAGTGTTGTTGAGAAAATAACAAGGGTCTATCCAGCAGAAATGGACTTCAAGAGAGCTTTCCCTTTTGCTTTCCTAAGAATATTTATTTTTATCCGTTTTATCTTTATTTAATCCATTTCATGTTTGTAGACTATAGGTAGTCCTTGATCTACGGCCACAACTGAGTCCAAAATTTATGTTGCTAAGCAAGGTGGGTTATCAAATGAGTTTTGCCCCATTTGCAACTTTTGCCACAGTTGTTAAGTGAATCACATGGTCATTAAGCGAATCCTCATTGACTTGGCTTGTCAGAAGCCAGCTGCGAAGGTTACAAAATGGTGATCACATGACCCCCGGGACACTGAAACTGTTATAAGTACATACCAGTTGCCAAGCGCCCACATTTTGATCACATGACTGTAAGGATGCTGTGATGGCCATAAGTGTGAAGAATGGGCCTAAATTACTTTTTCAGTGCCATTATAACTTCGAATGGTCACTAAACGAATGCTTGTAAATTGAGGACTACCTGAACACAGGAATAGAAGGTGGGTGATTTGACTTTCCATTCACCAACACTGGTCTGAGGGAAAATCAGTAGAATCAGGAGGTTGACAGAAATATGAAGCGAAGTATATTGACTGGAGTTAAGAGCCTGTGTAAGATTCATGCCTCTGGAGGTTGATTCTGACTGAATTAAAACAAGGGCTTCATTTGTAATGAGATCGATGAACAGGCAAACTGCCGTGTGAAATACAGCATTAAGCTGATTTGGGGCAACCACCCTGTGATTAATTCAGTATTCCAGAAACTCGGGTTGGTTGTTATTACTGCGTGTTCCAGCCGGAAAAATGTGCAGAAGGAGCTGATCCTGAATCGAGAGAGAGTCCCTTGGAGTATGTCATCTGTTTTTTGGGAGGCTCAGAGAAGGGGCTTGAACTATATCCTTTCATTATATTTCGGTCTGGGTTAAAATGGGACTGGAGGAGGAAAGTCTTTTTCTTTTTTAATTCCCATTGTTTTGATTGTTCTCTTAAATTAGGCCAGAGAGGCATGCACATTCCCAAATCATTTTTTTTAGGCTTCTGAGAATATCAGTTATACCCTCCTTGTCTTTTCATAATGGCCGAAAGACGTGGCTGTGCCAGTCGGCTTGGGGCCCCAGTGGGGGATCAGTGAAATGGAGGCGGTTGATTGAATAATAACAGATCCCACCTCCCTCCGCCCCCTCCAGCCCCCTCCTCCCCATGTGTCCTTGGTTTTAATGTTTGATTTTAACTTTTTATGTTTGATTTTAACTTTTTATGTAGGGTTTACCCTATGGTAAGATGGGCGGCCAAGACATTTTATATATAAGTAAAAATAAATATCTGGATGTTTGAAATACCTTTAATAGATGGGCAGCACATAATTATAAAATGGGATAAACATAAAGATTAGGCCGAACTTGAAGCATTATTTCCTTAAAAGTGATACATTCAGACTTGAGCTTGATGGATACATTCAAGATATGAAGACTTCTTTAGATTCAAAGGTAAGTCTTGATGGAGAAGTAACTGATTCATTGCTGTTAATAACTTTGGATTACTTCTTTTGGCTTTCTCTCTTTTTTTCCCTCCAGTGAGATGGAAAATGTTGGTTTCTTTATAAGCTGTTTGATAAACTGAGATGCTTGAAGTTATTTTGAGTTCCCTGTGAAGATCCCTAATCAGAATTGTTTACCTAGGATAATGCTGAGGAAGAGAGTTTGATTTCCACAATCCTCAATCTCTTAAGGACGCATTAGAGAAATCTCAATTAAAAAAGCTTTATCTCACTTCCCAAGCATTGGTGTGCTCTGGGCCTATTTTCTGTGCATCTCAGTGGTAGAATAGGAAAGGTATCTGGCATTTCCAAGTTACTTAGAGAGCAACAAGTTTCTGTTTCAAGTGCAAGATTCAATTGTTTGCTACCTTGTAGTTGGAAGAGAAACAGGCTAATCTGACTGTTGATTCTCCTGTGTCTCTTAGCAGTTTCCAGTATTATCTACATGGTGTCCTTCTAGAGCAGGGATATCAAACTCAAAGCCTGCGGGCTGAATTTGGCCCATGGGGTGTTTAAATCTGGCCCGTGGGGCCAGTCTGAAAATAGCTAAGAACTGGCCCGTGGTGCTTCTGGCAGCCAAAGTGGGGCACGTGTGGGGGGCTGCGTGCGGGGACCCCCCTGCACCCTGTTTTTGGCATGGACGGCCTTCTGCCAGCCATGCTGCCAGCCAAAACGTGCATGCCCCATTGTGGGTGGCAAAGTACAGGAGGCCATCCAGGCCGAAAACGGGGTGTTGGGGGGTGCATGCAGTTCCCTTGCCTCGTTTTGGTCAGCAGGGTGCTGCAGGAGGCATCTGTCCTGTTCCCCCCCCCACTCCAGTTGGCCCACAGAGAACTACAATATTCATCTGGCCCTCAAAGAAATCCAGTTTGACACCCTTGCTCTAGAACAGGGGTGTCAAACTCACGACCCATGGACCATATGCATCATGTGCTGGCCCCATGCCCACCCTGTTTAGCGAAGGGGAAAAAAGTCCTGATACGTCCTGTGACGCTGCCATGACGACATGAGTTTGATACCCCTGCTCTAGAGCGTTCGTGTTGGCTTGAGAATCGAAAAACTGGCCTTCAAGAATTTTGTTCAGAGTTTATGGTTGTTCTGTGGGAACCAAGCTCTCTTTGAGTGTGATTATATGGGGAGCCTCAAGATTCTCATACTTCTTACTATCTCTGTGAAAACATTAGACATCATTCAAGGTAAGGAGAGCTGTGTCACCCACATGCCATCATGAGCCGTGGTGGTGCAGTTGTTAGAATGCAGTACTGCAAGCTAATTCTGCTGACTGTTGGCAGTTCGATCCTCAATGGCTCAAGGTTGACTCAACCTTCTGTCCTTCTGAGGTCAGTAGTATAAGGACCCAGATTGCTGAGGGCAATATGCTGACTCTGTAAACTGCTTAGAGAGGGCTGTAAAGCACTGTGAAGTGGTATGTAAGTCTAAGTTGGGTGTCGAACTAATGGCCTGCGGGCCATTGTGTCATGTGCTAGCCATGTTCACCTCCATTTTAGCAAGGGGGGGGGGGAAAGTTGCAATATGTCACGTGATGACAAGATGATGCCGTGAGTTTGATACCCCTAGTCTAAGAGCTTGACGCTTTGGCATCCAACACTCTTGAGATCTCTCTTCGTTTTGAATATGTCACTTCTGGATGCTGCTAATACAGTTCTCTCTAAAGAGAAATCTTGAAAGAAATATCTATTCTTGTTTGCAGATTACTGATAGGCATATAGGGAAATTCAAATGTTGTCTTTCAATAGCTTGGCATCCCTTGTTGGGGATTTGCCTTTGCATAGTGGACTTGCCTTGTCTTTATGCTGTGGGCTAGTGCTGGCACACGGAATTGCTGGGGAATACTAATTGGGACTTGGAGACCTCAATAAAGACTCCTAATGTCCATTTGTGTGTGTGTGTGTGTGTGTGTGAGTGCATGAAACAGCAGAGAGCTTCTTGTCCTGAGCTTGTGTTTGTGGAATGTAGCTTATTGTGATGCACCATAAACACTTTTTAGCATCTCTGGGAGTTTCAAGAATAATTTGTAAAATAGTATGGGAGGACTATAGCTGTTAAAAGACAGGCCTGGGAGGAGGGACTCCTCTGCTTGTATGCCTGGGTGAGCTCAATACAGCTATTTGGATAAGCTGTTACACTGCTACTTCTCACTCACTTTCTTGATTCAAGATAGCAAATTGGCCCCAAGGGAAATTTCACAGGCTCTGGAATAGGGAATGGCTAAAAAGTAATCAACTCTTTCAAAAGAAGCTGTCCCAAGTTGCTTCCCCGAATTCCCCTTTACAGTCACATATCTTGTAGAATGATCAACTGTTATTTCGATTGGGTGCAGCAAAGCAACCTGGAGACCTGCATTCAGCCGCTCCTGAGAACTTGGTTTGAGGATTTGGTGTGTCCTATTCAGAGGGCGGTGAAGCTTTTCCAGGAGAAACTTGCCTTTGTGTTACATGCTGTGAGTACCACGCAAAGTTCACTCCTCCTGGATCTCTGTGGTGTGCTTTTGTTTGGGTTCCTGGTTGAACAGTTTGCCTTATTTATTCATTGTTTTGGCTGCAACTGTTGTGATAGTCAAAGTGTGTACAAATAAGACTTCACTACTTCAAACAATCTTTAATTGTGTGTCATGTCACCTAGTGGGTGCCTCTTTCCTGGAATATTACCGGACAGGCTAGGAGTGGGGAGACACATTGATGTAATGTGCTAGTTGCTGTCCTTCCATATTATTTTTTTACCTTCAGGAAAGCAACACAATATAGCTATAGAGCTCCACTCCAAGGGGCTATTTGTGGGAATGTTGATGGCTTAAACCAGGATTAAACTTCTGGCCCGCAGACCAGATGCGTCACGCTCTGGCCATGCCCACACCCAGTTTAGCAAAGGGGGGGGGAATTCCTGATATGTCACGTGAGGCTGCTGTGACAACGTGGGTTTGATACCCCTGGCTTAAACAATTGGTCAGAATTAAGGGTTTGACAGCTTGAATAACACGATAATAACACCTTTGTTTTAAGGAGCACCAGCTTTAAGCTGTACGTGTAATTCATTTTAAAACTGGGCCAGCAGTTTTAGAAACATGGATTTCCCTTACTGCAGCTGGAATTCATTTTCATGTTTTTAAACATATACATTCAATTATGCTTAGTCAGAGCTTTTAGCTAAAAAAGTTTGA